AACAGCTGATAGCATATAAAAAAAAAAAAAAAAAAAAAAAAAAAAAAAAAAAAAAAAAGAGCCAAAAAAATGCAAAAGTTAAATAGTACTTGTATAATTTAAAATAGATTTTGAATTTAGAACTTACTATGGTTATAGTTTTAAGTATCAAAAATTCGTCAGATTTTTTTTAATAAATTACAATATTAAGTTAAAATGTGTAATAAAAGTGAGGATTATTTTCCTTATGATATTAAAGTCCTAAACAATTCCAACTTAAGGAGTGACAAGATGTTTCACAATAGTGTTTTCCTGAATAACGTTAAACTTCTATTGTTTGCTATAGTAATTAGAGAAAGTAATTTTAATTTGTTTATTACTGAAGAATCATGAAGTTTCAAAGTAAAAGTATAAGGAGCTTTTGTATAATTTTTTGTTGGAAATATCTTTTTTACAATAAGTTTTAGAAGTTGTACAAAAAGACACTTTGTACATCCAAACCAATGTTCCGAGATAAAAATTTTTGCACATTAGGGATTTTTTTAAAAAAAAATGTATACTAAATGAGTGTCGCTAAAGAAAATTTAAATATGACTTATATTTAAATTTCGGGTTAGCGACACTCATAATATGAGTGCTCGAGAGTAAAAACCTGTAAGTAAAAATTTGACCTACAAAATATTGTACCATTTTGACCAATCAAATTCCAAGTAGTAAGTGGCAAGTTTCTAGAATAAATTGTCATATTATCTATATTAAATAATATAAAAAAAAACTTTTTATTAATACTATAATGTGTAAAAATAAAATGAGAATTAAAAAAAAGTTTTATATAAAAATTGATTGATCTTGAAATTTGAAATTTTTTTCATCGAAGTTAATGTCACCCCATGTGCTGCATAGCAGCACATGAGTGACATTAAACTCTGATGCAAATCTTACGTTTTTGATACCCCTGCATTTACTTTTTTGATACACCTAGATGTACCCCAAAATTTCATTACTTTTTTGATACCGATCTACATACATACACGTGATTTTGTCCAATAAAATCACTCTAATATCAATATGGTTAGGTGGCCGATATACATACCCTAATTTTGTTATCTGTAAATTAACTCTAAGCAAAGATATCGTCATAGCCATCAAGTCAAATTCGATAAACACTTTTTTATTTGAATTCTATAAACTTGTAGAATTCAAATAAAAAAAAGTTTATCTAATTTGACTTGGTGTTTGTCGAGATATCTTCGCTCAAAGTTTGAGAGAAATTTTGACACCGCTTTGAAATTTTGTTTTCTTAAAACTTTGAGCGAAGATATCTCGACAACCACCAAGTCAAATTCAATGAACTTTTTTTATTTAAATTCTAATTTTCTGTAGAATTCAAATAAAATAAATATGTTCATCGAATTGACTTGTAATTGTCAGGATATCTTCGTTCAAAGTTTTAAGAAAACTCAAAATTAAAGCTGTGTCAAAAACTTTGAGCGAAGATATCTCAACAACCACCAAGTCATATTCTATAAACCTTTTTTTTTTTTTTTTTTTGAATTCTACAAACATATAGAATTCAAATAAAAAAAAGATCATTGAATTTGACTTGGTGGTTGTCGAGATATCTTCGCTCAAATTTTAAGAAAATTTAATGCTATTAAAATAAATCGGTATCAAAAATTTTCTCAAACTTTGAGCGAAGATATCTCGACAACCACCAAGTCAAACTTTTTTTTATTTTAATTATACAAATATATAGAATTCAAAATAAAAGTGTTTATTGAATTTGGCTTGGCGGTTGCTGAGATATCTTTACTCAAAGTTTTAAGAAAACTTAAAACGTTTATAAAATAAAGCTTATCAAAATTTTTCTCAAACTTTGAGCGAAGATATCTCGACAACACCAAGACAAATCCAATGACCTTTTTTTTTATTTGAATTCTACAGTATATTGAATTCAAATAAAAAAGTGTTTATCGAATTTGGCTTGATGGCTGTGGCGATATCTTTGCTTAAAGCTAAAAAAAATTTAATTTACAGATAACAAAATTGGGATATATATATCGGCCGCTTATTGTTAAAATTATTCATTAAACAATAACAAATAGAAGTTCTCTTAAATTTTGTATTTATTGATATATGTATCTATGCATAAACTCAGCTTTATTATATGTTATAAAATAACTAAACAGTTATTATATTTAGTCAACTACATTTAACGCTTAATAACATTCAAAACATATTGATATGCAAGATCTAATCTTTGAGTAAGTGTTTCTGGGTCACCAAAAAGTTGGTTTGTAGTTGAAATAAACTGATTAGTTTCAAATATCATCGGATTTAACTGAGAAGTGACAACAGGAGGTGTTTTAGACGGCTGTTGAAAGGTTATAGTTGGTGTTATGGTTACAGTTCCTGAATGTTCATTAGCTTGCAAAGTTGAAGTAGAAGTTGATGAATAAAACATTTCATTATGCTGACTCTAAATAAATAAATAAATAAATAAAAATTAGAATCTTGATTTTAAATTATTTAAATAAAGTAAATAATTACTTTAATCTTCCATTTTGCATTTCTTATACTTGTCGTTTTTCTTTTTTGAACTGAAGTTGATGGAGCTTCATAATTCATATCTTGAGATTGAATTGAACGTAGAATGCAGCTAGGTTTGTGTGGTTTTGCTGATGGTTTTGGAGGTGCACCATTGTTTACTGATTGTTTTTAGTTTAATTCCAATGGTCGGAAAGGATCAGTGCAAACGTTTGAGTATTTTTTTAAAGGATAAAAAATTTGTACACCTATAATATTTAAATTTAGATCAATTTTTATTATATAGTAATAAAGAACATATATGTTAGTATTAGTAATACAAATACCTTTAATATTATAAAGATGAACTATTTCTTGATACGCTTCCTCTATAGATCCAAAATAAATTGTTTTATTTTTTTGATCTGAAGGTATAACTTATTCTTTGTTTTTAAAATAGCTAGCCAGCTTATTTTTTGTTTCATGTACCACATTCACAGTATTTACTTGTGCTGTTGAAAATATTCTTGTAGCATAACAATGTTTACAGACATCATGAAATGGCCCATTCCAGATGTAATCTAAGCATTGTGGGCATTCCCCTATAACAATATTAGTGGTATAGAATCTATTTCATCATGTAATATTACAATTATCAGATAGTAGCTTAATCATCAGTTGAAGATAAGTAATATTTTCTTTTTCTAATTCTATTAATTCTTCATTGCAATATGAGTTAATAATTTCTAATTCATGCTGTTTTTTAATATAAAAACAGTCAGAATTGTCAAATTGTTCAACAAAGCCTAAGAGAAAATATAACCTTTCTTGATTTAAACATCGATTCATATCTGAGGTTATTTTGAATAATTCATTTTGCTGCAATAGTTAGGGTTGTTAATGGAGTACTCCAGTCTATAATAAAACATATAACCCACCTCTGGAGTGCTCCGGAGTGGGTTATATATTTTATTATTGTCTGGAGCACTCCATTAACAACCCTATTTGAACCCCACAAATGATGTTTTCGAAAAATAGCTTTGTGATATAGTTAATGGCTATTTAATAATTAGTAGAATCTAGAAATCTGTAATCTTAGTTACACTATCTAGAATAAGAGCTTTGGTATAATAAATCTAAGATACCAGAATAACTGAAGACCCATTTGGCAAGTTCCAAGTTGAGAGATAGTACAATCTTCAATAGTACTATAGAAAAATCAAATTTGAAACTAGAAACTAAGATCAGAGAACTAATTAATCAGGTCTTTAAGTGGAGAGACATACTAGCCAAACTGCGGAGTTACCAAACTAGAGAAAAAAAATATATACTTTGAAAGCATGTACCAAAAGAAGAAAGACTATATAAACACCTAAGATCTAGATAAACCAACCTTTTCAGGTTGCCAGCTAAAAGTAAAAAAGAAACCAGTAAAGAATCTGGAGAAGAAAGAAGTTTAAATATGGGTGCTAAAATTGTATAAGCCCAAATACAAAAGCAAGAAGTACGTAACAACTACTAAAATAGAAAGGTTGTAGTTTGAAATACAAATCAGATTATAGCAGTATTCTAAAAAATAGCTTGAGATACAAACTTAGTAGTAGCAATACAACAGGTACTAGATTAGAAAGAAGTTACCAAACACATAGATGAATATATATGTAAAACATGTACCACTTTATTAGATTTATCTCGAGGATAAAGTAGTTCTAGATAGGGTATAAAATCTATAAATGATGCAAAATCTAGTATATGAATAATGAGTTATATCTTGGTTAGGTAAGAAATAATAAGCCATTGTGATTAGAGAGTTTAAATAAATAATCTCCTAGTTGGGTTGCAGGTATAGTACTAGTGTAAAATCTTGAGCAGACTACTTAAATAGAAAACCAAAAGTTGTAGGTATAGCTAGTTGTACTCTTGTTTATAAAAGCCAAAGAGCTTAAATAGATAATCTTCTAGTTAGATTATAAATATAGTAGCTAGTATAGAATCTGGGTAGACTACTTAAAATAGATAACCAAAATTTTTTTTTTTATATTTGGCAGTCTTGCCTTTACTTTATTAGGCTTTGTAATAATTCTCTAAACTATTAAAATTTTCCAAAGAGTTAAACTTTTCAGTACCTAAATTACAAGTGAAGACTCCCCTGATTGCTTACTGAGTACCTATGTGTGACCTGCTATAGTAAGATTTGCCTCTGTACTATCTTATTCTGCATTTGGCTTTGATAGTACTTCAACGGCAGTCCTTACCGCTTGTCAAGACTACATGTTAACTTTCTACCACTCTGAACATTGACCACCTTCAGTCCAACTTAGTACTTCTTTCTTTGAGATTTCTAACACCGATTCCCACCTCATATCTTCTTCTTTCTTCTTACTCTTTCCTTTATTAGTTTTTTTTGAAGAGTCTGCTTTGGGGCCTCATTTTTTTTCCACTTTCTTCTTCTTGTTTCTTTTCTTGAACTTTTCATAAGACTCTTTCTTTTCTCTTGAAGCAATGCCATTTTTTTTTTCCTATTCTTGTACTAGCTTGCATCTTGAGATCCATATTTTTTCATACATCTTTTTCATCCAATTCTTCCAAAGTTTTACTATGAAGCTTTTTGTCTGGTTGTTGGAGTTAAAATAGAATCTCAACTTCTTAAAGTCTTCTATTGTAACTAGACCTCTAATCCATCTTTC